GTAAATACAAGCATATTGTATCATAAAATTAAACGTCTATAACCAACAGTTATAACTAACTGATTAAATTATGAAATTACTTATTGTGAAAAATGTGAGTTTAATAGCCAAGACATTTGGAAAGAATCAATGTTGTATATGATTAGTACTTCGATCGAATAGTACTTTGGTCAGCGTGTCAGCGGATATCATTTATGCTTTTCGGTAAAACTGTATAGCATAATGTTTTGTTTTGTTTTCATTAATGTTTTAAAATTACTTACAATATTAGTTAATAGAGTACTTTAACAAATTTTTTTCAGTCACCAAAGATATAGCTTGCATTGGTAATAAAAAATCCCTAATAAGTACATAAGAATTTTCACAAGTTGAAATCATGAGTCAATTGAAGCTAGACCACCATGGAAAACCTGGAAGCACTGGACGACCGTTTCGTCCTGGTATGGGACTCCTCAGCAGTACGCATCCCATTGACTCATGATTTCAACTTGTGAAATTTCTAAAAAATCTCCACAAAACCCATTCTGACATAAGAGTTTTGTCATGCAAATGTGTTTCATCAGCAATTTAACAATTAAACAATCCTGTTTGAATTTTTCACTTTAATATTCAGTGATTTATCTTTTGGTCTTTAAGTCTTAAATCATTCTTTTAATGATCTCTATGAAGATTTCATATCATTGTAAGATAATTACTATTATGAATTGGGATCAACAGGAAAACCACGGAAAACCAGTACTCAAAGCGTTTTAGCACCACCATCCACATCTCAACAGCACTTCAAATTCAAAACATATCACAAAGACAAAATTAAGACTTTCCACCTCAGTGGTAAGTATCATGGCATTAGATCACTGAGCTCAAGGTGAATGAGTAACATTATTTTGCTTGAGTCAATTTTTATGCAATTCTCAATTAATAAAACAGATGAGTCATCTCTCATTCTCCTTCTGTGGTCAATCCAGCAGTAATATAGTAAGATTCCGAATGAGGCTTGAGTCTGATGGCCGATATTATCCTCAATATCTTCGATGTTTAATTTCTGTATTGTTTTTGGAACCTTCAACCACATTTTCATCTATTTAATGGATAAAGGTTGTATAGTAAAATGATATTACCACTAGGAACTTTACTTCAGGTGCATGAAGTAATGCACAACTGTCTTTTGTGGGAGTGTTAATGTAGCGTAGATAACACGTCAAATAAACACAAACATAGTGGTCATAATAACTGAACAAAATGTTTAATATAAAGTACACTCCAGTATGTAGTATCTACCTGTCAAATGAACTGAAAAATTATTGAAACGATTGGATACTACACACTTATTGGAAATCGAAAACATTGAAGAAAATGTAGACCGGATTAGGCTTATGTCATGATAATTTACTTTATTATGCATGGATAAATAGACATATTTTTTAGTGAGTCCTCGTATAAATCGGTGTATAATTCTTCATAGTTCGTTGGAAATAATCGATAGTACTATGATCCCAAGACTCCATGAGCGGTAGAACCTATGAACTTATTTACACATTCATCCTCTTCTTATCTGTCACAAATGAACAATTAGGTCTCATTCACACATTATTTTCATTTTACTCTATTTGAACTAACATCTGGATTACTATAGATAGTCTTTTGCGAATATCTGAAATCTTCGAATACTTTGAAACACAAACCAGTAATACTTCTCAGTAGATTACTCTATATATGTCAATATAGGGTTGTAAAGATCGTTAAATTTCATCGATAATTATCGAGTATTCACTAGTGACTAGCCTCGAGAGGTAATTCTCGGAATTCTAATGAGAAGTCATGACCGATGGAGTTGAACAGTGTCGGGTGTGAGTCAGTTACTCATCGAAGACGGTGTAAGATAGTTGCACAACATCGTGGATTTATTGAAGTTGGAAACTGACACCGTTGAATAACAAATCAATGGTTCAGATTTTAAGTATTTGTGGGTGAGACCGAGTGTCCCGGATTCAATTTCCACATGTGGGATCGTGGATGCCTACTGTTGAGTAGTCACATACTATGATGAAACGGACGTCCAGTGATTCCAGGTTTTTAATGATGATCTAACTTAGATCGATTCAGCATTGCTATGAAATACTAATTATCATCATATAAAATACAAATTGGAACCGACGAGTTGCTTAAAACCTTCATAAGTAGTATGTAGGTATACAGTGAATATAAAACTTGTACACGACTAACATACGGATAACGTTTGTTTGATTGGAATTAATGTTGTTATTCCATTTTTATATTCCAATAAAGGGTGACGATTTTATACTTACAAATAGAGAACGAAAAACAGTCCAATGATTTGATATGAATCATTCAAAGTAAAAGAAAATAATCAGATTGAATTTACTGCACAATTTAAGAAATCAGTCAGCCAGTCGCTCAGTCTGTTTATCAGTTACAAGCAACGTAGAACCCTGGGGGAATGTGCTATGATTCGAGTTGTGAAAGAACATCAGCATAGCGCGATGAAAACACTAAGATAAACATAAAGATTCTCTAAATATGATAGTTAATTTTATAAAAAACCATTAATATGTTGTTGACGTTCCTGATTGTGAAAGTTAATACAATCCATATAAACTAATTATAGAGTTTTCAAGTTCATATTTATCAGGCTTTACTCTATATGTACGGGATTATTAAATCAATCCAGCCAGTTTATGAGTCTATGACCACAGTGAAGTAGATTGCATAACTACGCATATGTGGTGAAATGTACAAATTGATAATAAGGAAACAAGTGTACTAGTAGCGACAAGAACAGTAAAATATCAAGTTTTAATCAATAGTTCCACACAAGATGTAGGTCAAAGTTGGATAAATGTTGGATAAGTGTGTAAATGATCACATAGTGAAGTATGTGAACGGAAGTTATAAAATAGGGTCATTGGTTCGTATCCTTAATGTCTCTGTGATATGTAGTAGACAGGATCGATCTCTATTCGGAAATAATGAAGGTAAATGATAGATCATTACAACCATCATCAAAAGGATACAAGTGCTTACAAACATTTGTCTATACAAGATATTCCAAATCCGTTGGCCTGACATCATCAGCAACGACCTATTGTGGCAGAGAACAAACTAGATTCCACCACCACGCTCTTGGTGGACAGGACACACATTGAAGAAAATGCATCGCAAAGCAAGCCCTAACCTGAAACCCTCTGGGCAAAAGGAATCATTTGACCACTGCTAATCAGGTTTGTTTAGATAGAGCTATGTTTATTTTTTAACTTTACCCTTTCAAAACCACACAAGAAGATGTTCTCTTATTCGTTGGTAGGTTCACATTAAAGAAGTAAACTCAGATACTTTATCTTTTGTTTAAATACAAATCATTGGTTCAAAAGAAACTATCACTGTAAAATCAGCTGCGTAAAATGTCTTTTATTCACGTATATTACAATAAAGCCTTACGAAGATCTAATTAGAAACAATATTGTTTGCTTATATGTATTGTTCTAATAGTATATATGTGATAAATAGATTACAGTGTTACTCAAGAAATTTTTTGCAAGTTCATTTGTCTTTTCATTATCAAGTTATTTAATCATTCAAATAGTTTTTAACTAGTCAAATAAAATAGAGTGCGGAAATGGTGGTAAAAAAAACTGTAACATTCGGAGAAGAGTCCAACTGATGACACACAGTCGATAGGAAAATAGTAAAGAGAGGAGGGTTAAAGAGTGTTACACAATGAAAATTTGTAAAAAAATTCAAATGAAAAGTTCGCATTCCTTTGTGTTTCTCTGAAGTTAAATATGTTATTTCAGATATTTAGTAAATGATGTAATTATCAAAGAGTTGCTGAGCTATTTAAGCCGTTTCACAGATTGTATCTCATTAATTAACATCGAGGTAAAGTACACGGAATATCAAGTCACTTAGGATGCGGAATAAAAATCCATAAATGGCACCAAATCTTCTTTACATTACCGATGCATCTATCCGTTGGGTGTCAAGAAAACATAAAACGTAAGTTCAAGGTTTCCGATAAACTATTCTACATCTGTCCAACTCTTCCAATTTTCAAAGAAAATTAGATTGATCATCAGTAGCTTTATGAATTGCTAGTTTTTCATAATTATAGGTACATGTTCATTTTTATATTTGTTGTTTGAATCTTCACATTTAAGTTTATGACTACAATTGATCAGTCTCTTATTGGCATATGTGCATTATGTGCGGATTGCCTCGATATTGCCTAAAGTCACAAGCATTGCTAGCCACCAGCATGTGTTTTAATTAATTCATTTTTAATGCATTATTGGTGTACATTATTTTCCTTAAAAAGCATGCACTATACACACTCCTAAGCCATCTATACATTACCAACAGCTCATTACATTATTAAAAACTCACTATAAGGTATAATATAGCAATCTCTGCTCTTCGAGTAACCAAAAGGGTTTTTTAAATAGTAGTTGGTGACCAAACATCCTAAGAAAATCGAAGCTAACTGTCACGTTATCAGTGTTAAAATAATGAGTTATATCCAATACTTATGACTACATTTCTACTCATTTAATTGGTGAATGTTGCATATCCTAGTATAATTCTCATTAAAGTTTGGAGGTATACAACAACAATGTGTTATGAACATGTCAATGTAGCACAGCCAAACATGGTGAATAAAAAACTCAAATATAATGAGATTAAAGGCTCAAAATAAAATCTCTAATATGTATTACTTATCTCCATTTACTGAACAGATAAAATGTTTCATATTGTCAAATATTACACATTACTTCAATAATAAAAACAAATGGCTGGTTAACCCAAATCCCTAAGGTATTACATTTTATCACCTACTCATCAGGAAAAAATGTTTTCCTTATACAAATCATAATATGAAATTAAAGTTCAGTTTGTCAACACACACACACACATGCACACACATATGCATGGAAACATACAAAAAACAAATTAAACACAACAACAACAACAACAACAAAACTCACCTTCATTTAATAAGGAATAATCCTCGTCAAAATTCACTAGCATATTATTATTCTTTTGAATATTTTGGCATAATTTTTCAAATACATAATGTTCACGATCAATACGTCCTCTTGTTACTAATTGATGATTATCAATAATTTGAAAATATTGATTTTCATTTAAGATATTTAATATCAGTGAAGTCTTTGATATATTTTTCGGTGTATAATGATCATAAAGAAACATTAAATCACATACAAATGTACTAATGAGGATTTCTTCTATAATAATACATTTATTATTATTATTATTACTATTACTATTATATACATCCTTATTATGATTGTCGTTTGGTCGACTTTCATCAGCTGCTATTATAAAGTAATGTAATATACTTGTTAAAAAGATTGAATGAACTATTGTAAACATTGAAATGATTATGAAATAATGAATATAAAATGTGTACACAATTTATATTGATTAAAGAAAAGTGTTATTTCAAAGAAGAATGGAATAAAGTTGATTTGTTTCATTGTCATTTTATTCCCAGGAATTGAACAATTCAAAATTATAAAAAGAATTTCTATGAAGAACAAAAAAAGAAGAAAAGAAAAGAAAAGAAAAAAATTATCATGTTATTCATGAATTAGACATATTCTTAATTTTTTTTACACTTATTCAATGGTGTATTAAGTGGTACATAAAAGTGAGGTATATCTATTTTTAATTCCAAACAAAAGAATAGTGTTAGTTGTTTCTAAGTAATTTATCTTTTGATATGTCTAATCACAAATGAATTACAAATCATCCAGTCAGTATTCATTAACCTGGTTACTTGTTGGTTGTAAACACATACACACATATGCATAGAGAGAAAGTATGTGCGTGAGAGAGAGAGAGAGACGTATATATGCACTTACGTATATACAAGTTCGGGAAATCAGTAGACTTGACTCACAATGACATTTTCAATTGACTCAGGAATGATAATGATTATATTGTTCCATATATAATTATTATTAACATACTTTCAGATGTGTGACTATGACAATTATATACAAACGAGTATTAATGAGATGTGTGTTATTTTCTGTGCACAATGTATGCACGCGTCATATATACTTATACACATACATATACTAACACACAAATACATACATTACATATATTGTATGAGTCTTTTAAAAAATCATGCCAACTATTTCCCAAAATTATTTTTATTCTATTTTGAAAAATACACTTTACCAAATCAACCGAACTATATACATATATATGTTGGCTAGAGATGTCCGTTCATCAATTTTTATACTGAGAAAAAAGGAATGAGATAAAGTAAATGCCGTTATATTATGATTTTGGAGAGGTTGTATGCATGGTAGAGAAGCATTCGTCAGTTACTTTTGTTCTCTAATATACTAGTTGATTGGATAAAGAAACAACAGTTGATCAGGTTATCTATGTGAATAGATAAATGAGCCTATAATATATATATATATATATATAATTAAAGTGCCGTCGGTTTTGGAAAGATAAATTTAGTGCACATGAACGCACTAACTCCTTCATGAATGCACTGGGCTAGTAGTAGTAGTAGTATTTATAGTTCACTAAAATTTGCCTCATCATTTGTACAAATTACTCATTCTTTTATTAGCTTTTCCATTACAATGGATAAAACATAATTCTCTTCATCACTGGGACCTTAAAGTAGGATTTATGAGTCATTAACATTTGAATATAAATATATACATGTGTGTTGTATACTTGGTTTATGGTTACAGTAGAATCTAGGACACCCGTTTCATCGCATTTGAGACTCACCAGCTAGATATTCCTGTATTCAGTATCGTAATGTTTAAAATGAGATTCAAATTCAGCCATTGAGTTCAGATAGTTATTGATTTGTTCAGCAGGTATGAATTTATTTGTAAAGGTTTTTACTTACCCTTTATTGATATAATAGACTGTAATTGATCAGTCCCTATTTTCGTATGTAAATCCAGTGTGTATTGTTTCGATATCGCTACTGAGATATAAGTTTTTAGGAAATTGAAATCTTGAACACTTACATGCGTAGACACAGAAGGAATAAAGATAGTCTGTCTACAGTGTAGAGGAATTCTACTAAAGCAATGAAACTAGTATGGCCTATATGTTCTAAACTATATGGACTACTTTCTAGTCCTACTGTGCAACTGGATGAGAACGTATTTGGATGACAGTTATGAGTCCCTACAAAATTCGAATCATCGATGTATTGTTCCTATAGACAGCGAGAAAGATCTCATCACCAAAATATAAGTCGTTCTGTATAGTCGAATTACACACGGGTATACAAAATATTTATCAATGAATTACTAAATCTGTTCTTTTAGGTCATTCACTAACCAAAAAGATTGTCTAATTAACATGCTCCCTTAATACAGAACATTTTGATTTATGGATTATTGATCAGTCAACTATAAAATGAAATAACGAACGATCATTTTATATTGAGATATACACTTTCTGAAATCATAATTTTTCATGAAAACCACCCATAGTGGCTACACAAAGACGTAGTTTATTAGGAAATCGAGTTTCTTTATAAGTATGTGAATGATTCAAATGAATGCATCTTGCAAATCTTTGGAATACCCGATGATTTACGAACTGCTGATGCATCTTTTGTCGGAGAGGGAAAGTAAAAGTAAAATGCGAATATTTATGAAATCGTGCACCTTTGATTCTAGAAACAACAGTTGAACAATAGATAATGACATGCTGTTAGATATGAAGTTTGATACGATCATCGAATCGAGAACTATCATGTTCCAAATCAAACTATTACTAACATGTATAAAAACAATAGATTTAACTACCACAAAGTTATTTACGAGAGGACCGAGAAAGTCATCATAACAAATTCATCAAACACCATGTGACGGAAAAACTCATCATCAAAATAAATGCTTTTCTAGGGGGCAGCTGATCAGCTGGGTGTAGATAAATTATATTTTCCTATATATATTATTTAATGTATATAAGATAGATTACAAGATCATTACATAAACTACGAGGTGTGATCATTGATATAAAGGTTTTCATTATTCTTCCAACCAACCATTACTTTGATTTTTTCTGAGGAAGATAACTCCCCTGTTACGTAACAGAAGGCCAGGAGATCCCAGCGGCAACGTAACAGATTATGAAACTAGATGCCGGAAGTTTGAGTTCCACAAGTTTTCAGGAATACTTTTCCGACGACTGCCAACTTACACGAAACTTTGGTTCAGAAAAATATAGTGCCGTCTATCTCCATCCTTCTACCGACTCAAGTTAAAACCTAAATATCATGGCCAGTTATTTCAAACTTTATTCGATATTTTTTATCGAGAATAATATTATTATGGACGATATTGTATGTATCGAAAAAAGAAATGACAGAAAAGCAAAGGTTTCCAGAAAAGTTTCATTATCCAGGTTTCCTACCGTGGTTCCTCAAAAATAACGAACTTGATATAACTTCATAAAGTGACAGATCCTATCTAGTACTGTCCTGAAAAATATATTGAAATAGAATTTGAAGACGTAATTATTGAAAAATTTTATAATTATTCTAGCATAAATATACTTTACTGACGACCTTTGGCGGATCGTAGAATGATCTTGAGACAATGAAGCCAATTTTAAGTCATCTAGGATGCAGATGATATGAAGGAATAATTTATTACATAAAAATCTTAAACAAAATGTAAAAATTAGGATTGGGAGTTGTGATCTTTAGTTTGGGTCAGAATAGGAGAATCCTTTACAGTCATATTGATTTATCTCACATGTTATATAAGTACAAACATGGAAGCACTGAACAACTGATTTGTCCTAATAATGGGACTTCTTCGAAGTATGCATTCACAGCACCCCGTTTGACTGAACTTATAAATTTCAGGTCTTGTAACAAACGCCTAACAATGAGAACTACTAGTTTAATGGGTTTGATGGTGCAATTTCAAATTCAATCAACGATGATCATTCGTTGGAGTTGATTACGATTAGTTCACTCCTGACATATCTGAACTTCATTAGTTATCACTTGTTACTAGCTGTTCAGGAACACCTTTAAAAAAGTTGACAGAGAGTTGATTGTCATAGTCTAGTTGAAAAAGTTTTATACAAAGATTAGTGTAATTTATAGATTTTATTCTTTACAGATTGATCTATTTACTAGTCACACCCTGCCTAATGTATTGAATTTGATAGGGTGAAAAAAAAACTTTCCCTCTCTCGCCAATATCAACAAAAATAACATTATTATTATTATTATACACCTTTGTACTATAAATAGATGTAAAAGTACTTGTATATTCTGAAACATTTTATCCATTGAACAGTTTGACAACAAGTGTACGCATATATTTCAACAATAAGTACACTATTCAATTTAATGTTTAACACATTTCATGTCATCTATGGATCAGATAATAATAATATTTTCACAGATTGAAATCATGAGTCAGTTGAAGCTAGACCACCATTGAAAACCTGGAAGCACTGGACGGCCGTTTCGTCCTGGTATGGGACTCCTCAGCAGTGCGCATCCACGAACCCGAACCACCCAGGGCCCGAACCCAGGACCTACTGGCTTCGCGCGCGAGCACTTAACCATTAGACCACTGAGCCGGCATCCAACGGTGTTAATGTCTAACTTCAACCAATCCACGAAGTTGCGCTACCGTACACCATTGTCTTCAATGGTGGTCTAGCTTCAAATGACTCATGATTTCAATCTGTGAAAATTTCTAAAAATCTCCACAAAACACATTCTGATAATAATAATAATATTTACTTGAGTAGTTGTTTAGAGAGAGATAGAGAGAGAAAAAAACATTGAGAAACCCCTATAAATACCATATTGATGTCGGGTTATGAAAAGATTTAAAAACATCATTTGAATTGTGCAATAATTATTATTTCCCTTTGATCAATCAGAAAATTATACAATTTCAAATATAACCAAATTCAAAATAGTTTTATTTGAATCATTTTTGTTCATCAGTTTGTTTAAAATTTTCTGGATAGTCATCAAAGGTGAAAATTTTATTTATTGAATAACTTTTTTAAAATATTTCAGTTATATCAGAAGGGGTTTTGTGGAGATTGTAGTAAGTTCAATAGTTGAGATCATGTGTCAATAGAAGCTAGATCACCATGGAAAACCTGGGAGCTCTGGGCGGCCTTTTCTTCCTATAATGGAACTCCTCACCAGTGCGCATCTACGATCGCGCCTCACGAAATTCGAACCGAGGACCGATCAGTCTCGCGCACGATATAGAATATTTATTTAACAATCTGGGAATCAAATCATTAATCAGTTTTTGATAATTTATCTGTTGAATGATAAAGTGATCACTATGACTTGATAGTAAATACACTTTGTTAGTAATATAGAA